CACCCCCCCCCCCAGTTTCCCTGGTCCCTTGAGGTTATCTTGAGATGATTTCGGGGCTTAGCGTCCCCGCGGCCCGGTCCTCGACCAGGCCTCCTTTTTGTTACACACCCCCAGGAAGCAGCCCGTAGCAGCTGTCTAACTCCCAGGTACCTAATTACTGCTAGGTAACAGGGGCATCAGGGTGAAAGAAACATTTTGCCTATTTGTCTCCGCCTCCACCGAGGATCGAACCCGGAACCTCAGGACTACGAATCCGAAGCGCTGTCCATCCAGTTGTCAGGCGCCTGACTTAAGTGGCTGCCATCAACGCCCCCCCTCCCCCTTCTTCCCAACCCCCTGACCTAAGTGGCTGCCATCGACTTCTCCCCATCTTCCCAGTCCCTGATCTAAGTGGCTGCTATCACCCTCCCCCCCCTTTCCCCGGTCCCTACATCATATCAACGCAAGTGGCTGCCATCACTGCAATACAATGTCTACCTGTCAATATAAATTCAGTACTAAAAAGGAAAACGTTGCCATTTAAACAATGAGATCTGCGCTAATAACTGCATTCCAAAAGATGCCTAGGCTAGGTGATGTCACCTTTTGTTTACATAGTGACGGCCATATTTTGTGCTATTAAATAGTGTATACTGTATAAGTAAAATTATGACGAACACCAATAACAAAAAAAGCAAATACAACAACCAAACGTATTTAGGACTAGCCTAACCTTATCCAAGGCCTAATGTATTCATTATATGCTCAGTGTTAGACCTAGACATTTTTTTGTGATCGTTTTTGTTTTACAAAATGTAGACCGTAAGCTGAGCAACAGTTCATATTTTATACCAATGTTTCCTGTCCCCCGAGATGTGGCCATCACTGCTCTCCCACCACGACCTCAATAACATGCAGGGTGCCGAGGTGTTGGCGAGGCTCTCACCCTGTGACCCTTACTACAGCAATGTAGGAAAGGTGGTTTTAAAGACCCATCAGACTACCTCTTGTGGTTGTGATTGATTGAGTGATGAAGATTAAGCCACCCAAGAGGTGGCATGCGCATGAACAGCCAGTAAAAGCTCTTGTGATATTCTACTGAAGTATATAGGCAATGCACACTTAGCAAACTTCTGCCTTAGCTAAATGGTGGGAGGGTGAGGTGGGAATAGAGAACAGGTATGTGGAGGGGAAGGGAGGGTTGTGAGAGTACATTCTCACCTAAATGTGCTTTCAGTGTTCATTCTATCAATTCCCTTTATTTACAACTTATATAATGTAGTACCATAGTTCTGATATATCGTTCTTATATCTCCAATGTTACTACCCTCCTCCAGTGTGGAGTGGCCAAGTTCCCACATTAGTTCCCCATAAATTAGCCCTTACAGCTCAGGAACTTTATAAAAACAAAAACACAAAAATGAGGTGGGAGTGCCTTGCTGGGGTTTGCAAAGACAAAAGTGGGTCTCATATGGATTGTATTTACAGTATAGAATTCAAAAGGCACATTTGTTTAAGTTATTGAAGGCTATAGAGAAATTGCATCATTTATTTGTATGTGCATATCACTTCAATATGCTTGTATGGTCAGGCATTAGCTGTTAGCATCGCTTTCCAAACATTTCTTACTTTAATGCAATGACTCAGTTCCCTTGTTTTTTCCTATTACAGTATACTGTATTTACATAGAAAGTTGTGTACTAAGTTACCATCAACTACTTCTTTGTCTTTCCATTTATCGACAACTCTAACATTGAAGTATGTGTGAAAGTGCGTGAGTGCATATACACATGTATATACTTAGCTAACAAAGCAGCCAAGTAAAAGGGCTTGGAGAAACTATAGAAACAACAGAACACTAGAGAGCAGAGAAAGATACCAGAGCGCCAGGAATGAATATATCAGGGTGAGAAAAGAGGTAGAGAGGCAATATGAAAATGACATAGCGAGCAAGGCAAAGACTCAACCCAAACTGCTGCATAGCCACATCAGGAGGAAAACAACAGTGAAGGAACAGGTAATGAAACTGAGGATAGGGGCAGAAAGATTCACTATAAACGACAAGGAAGTGTGCGAGGAACTCAATAAGACATTCCAGGATGTCTTCACCTCAGAGCAAGGAGAAGTCCCAGAGATAAGGGAGGGAACATCAGACACAAGAGGAGTTTGAGATTACCAGTGGGGAGGTGAGGAAGCATCTGGTAGATTTGGACGTGACAAAGGCTATAGGCCCAGATGGGATCTTGCCATGGATTCTAAAGCAAGGAGCAGAAGCTCTGTGCCTACCACTCTCCAAGGTCTACAAATCACTGGTAACAGGTGAACTGCCAAAAATTTGGAAGACGGCCAATGTAGTCCCAATATAAAAGAAAGGTGATAGGCAGGAGGCACTGAACTACAGGCCAGTGTCCCTAACTTGCATTCCATGCAAGATGGAAAAGATTGTGCAAAAAAAGCTAGTGGAAAATCTGGAGTGGAAGAACTTTGTAACACAACATCAGCATGGGTTCAGAGATGGCAAATCATGCCTAACAGGATTAATTGAGTTCTATGACCAGGCAACAAAAATCAGGCAAGAGAGAGAGGGCTGGACAGACTGCATATTTCTGGACTGCCAGAAAGCTTTTGACACAGTACCACATAAGAGACTAGTGCACAAACTGGAGATGCAGGCAGGAGTAAAAGGGAAGGTACTCCAATGGATAAGAGAGTACCTAAGCAACAGGACAAAGCGAGCCACTGTGAGGGGTGAGGTCTCGGAGTGGCGGGGAGTCACCAGTGGAGTCCCACAGGGATCAGTCCTTGGACCTATACTGTTTCTGATATACGTAAATGATCTCCCAGAAGAAATTGACTCGTTCCTCTCAATGTTTGCTGATGATGCAAAAATTAGGAGGAGGATCAGGACAGAGGAGGATAGTATGAGGCTACAAGATGACCTAGACAAACTGAAGGAATGGTCCGATAAACGGCTACTAAAGTTCAACCCAAGTAAATGTAAGGTAATGAAACTAGGAGGAGGAACTAGAGAGGCCAATCACTGGATACCGAATGAGAGACGAAGTCCTTCACGAAACGGACAGAGAAAAAGATCTGGGAGTTGATATCACGCCAAACCTGTCTCCCGAAGCCCACATCAAAAGAATAACATCAGTGGCCTATCCGAGGCTGGCTAACATCAGAACTGCTTTCAGAAACCTGTGTAAGGAATCCTTCAGAACCTTGTATACCATAAATGTAAGGCCAATCCTGGAGTATGCAGCCCCAGTATGGAGCCTGTATCTAGTCAAGCACAAGATGAAGCTGGAAAAAGTTCAGAGGTATGCCCCTAGGCTAATCCCAGAACTAAGAGGGATGAGTTATGAGGACAGACTACGTGAACTGCACCTCACGTTGCTGGAAGACAGAAGAGCTAGGGGAGACGTGATCACCACATACAAAATTCTCAGGGGAATTGACAGGGTGGACAAGGATGGATTATTTAACACAGGTGGCACACGCACAAGGGGACACAGGTGGAAGCCGAGTACCCAAATGAGCCACAGAGACATTAGAAAAAAACTTTTTCAGAGTCAGAGTAGTTTGTAAATGGAATGCACTAGGAAGTGATGTGGTGGAGGCTGACTCCATACATAGTTTCAAATGTAGATATGACAGAGCCCAGTAGGCTCAGGAATCTGTAAATCAATTGATTGACGGTTGAGAGGCAGGACCAAAGAGCCAGAGCTCAACCCCCGTAAGCACAATTAGGTGAGTACAATTAGGCGAGTACAATTAGGTGAGTACATGGTAGGCACCCCTCCCTCTTCCTCCAGTATGTGTGACTTGCTGTTGTCTCATAAGCTGCATGACCCCTCAGCCAGGGGAAAAACTGTACTAGCTGGCACCGGTCCACCCACACTGAGCCCCTTCCCCCACCTCCCTGCGATCATCCCCCAACCCCAACTCAATCTCCCCTAACACATCCCTCACCTTTCCTGCTTCACCCCTACCCTCCCTACCAGATTACCCACCTCCCTACACCTACTCCCTTACTAACTCCAATGAGCACCAACAAAAAACAATCAAGCAACACCAAAACTCTAAGGAACAACCAGAAAATATTTGTAGAAAGTCTACAAATGAAAAAAGCCCCCCCCCCACCATTCAACACACTGACCTCACTAGCTACTGAGACACCACCACACCTCCCATGCCCTTATCAGCAGTAAAGAGGATGCAATATCAAACTGCATGGTAAATATTCATGTTGTGTTGATACCATTATGCACAGGGAACCAGATCACAGGACATCAATGTATCTATTGGATCCGAGACCCTTGGCCCATGGGTTGGTGTCTGAGTGGGCAATGGGGGCACTGATGAGGGTTATGGTAATGGATGGTGCCTCGGTGGGAAGTACTCTGCTAGTTGTACTCACCTAGTTGTGCTTGCGGGGGTTGAGCTCTGGCTCTTTGGTCCCGCCTCTCAACTGTCAATCAACTGATGTACAGATTCCTGAGCCTACTGGGATCTATCATATCTACATTTGAAACTGTGTATGCATTCCATCTGTTAACTACTCTGACACTGAAAAAGTTCTTTCTAACATCCCTGTGGCTCATTTGGATACTCAGTTTCCACCTGTGTCCCCTTGTTCGCATACCACCCGTGTTAAACAGTTTATCTTTATCTACCTTGTCAATTCCTCTGAGAATTTTGTAGGTAGTGATCATGTCTCCCCTTAGAGTAGAACTATTGATGAGGATTATGATAAGGGGGGTAATATCTTGGTGGATGATGCTGGGACCACTGGTGAGGTTATGATAAAGGTGGGGAGATAAGGTACATCTGACATGACTAGACAAAATTTATGTCTTGTTTTTGTCTAGCCAGGAAATAAACTTGTTTTTGTCTATCCAGGAGATTTTGTCAAACCATTAACCCAGGAAACTATGCACTTTCCTGGATTTCATTAGGGTTAATGTAATACAAATTTATTTACATGGTATAAACTTGAATTAGACAAATGCAGTACTCACATGTTGTCTGGCATGCCTGAGCTGATACATTCGGCCAATAGGTCTTCACTCTCAGAGTCAGAGTGAGTACTTGACCTGTTCTGAGAGTGTTCACGTGACCTAACTCGTCCCAATTCTTCTGAACTCTCTCTACCACCGTCAATTTGGTCTACTTCTCGAGCTGACGCATTCAGATCCTCATGTTCCTGAGATCAAAGAACACGCATGTTTAAAATTTAGTTTTATTTAACAGTTTAACTAGAATTAAGTACTAACATATTTTTCTTAAGGTTGAGTATACTGTTACTGTGCTTGACAATGATTTCACTAAGGGAAAAACAAAACTCAAATAATCACAAGTTAAATTGGCATGGCAATATAACAGAACTGCAAGAGCTTGCTAATCTTGACTCCCCATTAACCCAGACCTTTGGGTAATGCGGACAAAATCGAATCTGCATTTTGTCTGTTACCCTTTGCCAAACTCAGACAAAAATCAGGGTTACAAGCATTTCAATCGGATTACTGAAAGACATCGGGAGACCTATGCTCACCAGCAGCAGTCTTAGCAGCTGGCGATCAAAACCAACCTTGCCAATCTACCCTAACCATGTAAATTTATGTTTCTTGTGTGTTTGAAAATACAAATTATGTTGTTTGTGTACAAATCTTTGTTTAAATATGTTCATTTTTGGACCTTGCCGGTAAGAACTCCCGCTAATCCGGATCTCTGGCTAACTCAGAAAGAGGTTGGCCCATATGATCTGGATTAGTGGGCATTATCAGTGTAATACCTTTAGAACTTAAGAATTATGTGTATTGAATTGTTAAAGTTCTGTATCCACAAAAAATTAGAGGTCATCATATTGGACAAGAAGGAGCAGTTTAACCATTCCTTGACATAAAGGAAATGACCTACTCAAGGCATGCAACAGCAAACAACAATACTAGAGACAAATGTCAGGATGTACAGGCTCAAAGGACCTTGATTAATTTTTTGCTAAATCAATCGTCAATTGTTTACAATTATATTAATTTGACAATCATTATCTGCAACTTCTATCTAACATATTGTACTGAATGCTGTACAATGAAGTCTTCTACAACTACACCCCCTCCAACTGTTGTATCTGAACAATGGAAATTTCAAAATAGTTGAAATATCTCAAACGAATGGCATACAAGCTGCTTGAGGGAAATTAATCCCATTTAACTAGAGTTCTAGAAATTGGAGAGCAAGTCTACATAAAACATTTACAAAAATTAAACTACTTTATTGTAATTAATTTATAAGGCAGCATATAATGCATCTTTCAGTAATAATCCTAAACAAATGGTCTTCCATTGTTTAGGAGAGAAATTCTGTACGACTTATCACAGTACCTCTGGAACCGTGACTGATCTTTCCCAGGATGTAACCCACAGCAGACGCGTAACTCCCTGATGTTTATTTACTGCTAGTGGACATAGGCATAAGGTGCAAAGAAACATGACCAAACATCTCACCACCACTCAGAGGGTAATTGAGGTAAAAGTCAAATTAGATAACATAGCTTCACATTTTTATATTAAAAAGTTACTTCTCAGAGATATCCCATTCAGCTGCTTTCTTAGGTAAAATCCGTTGTGTTCATAGGACAGAACCATGCACAGTCAGGAAGAACAACATTATGGCATATGTAGCAAAAGGAATTTTCAAGTGGCTCCTATAAGATCAGCTAGATGCTAAGGTAGTCAATGGAAAAAAGTATCCCGCTCAGTATGATTACCAGCGGATATCCCTCTTTCGGCAACAGAATGCCTTTTAATGTCCTCCTTTCTGACTATACATGATCCTGTTTTATGAACACAATAGACCTGACCTCCAGGAGTAGCTAAATGATCTACTCGGAAAGGTGCTTTTCAAATTAACGTAAAGTTTTGTTTTTCATGTGATTGCATAAATAGAAAAGAAATTGCATTACATTTCCACAAAGTTGCCGAAAGTTTAAAAATCTTATCTGTACATTTGATAGCACTATCTAGTGGAACGGATTTTGTCCAAATGAATGCATTAATAGAAGACTTCATTGTACAATATTTTTATTACAATTCCTAAATTCTTTCTTTACCTGTCCATGGAGTCTTGGAATATTAGAAGAAGGTAGAGGAATCCCTCTCTGGGATCCACGAGATGTAGTACGTGAAGCCTCGCTACCAGTTGTGTCACTGCTGTCTTTGCCGTCTCCTCTTAACCGGTCCTTTGAAGGATGAGAAGTGTACACCTGTTTGTCAAGGCGAGCATATAATGTCAGAGGTAACATAATTACGTACTGTACTTTCATACTTACTATGTATTATCTTTCTTATGATATTACAGACAGTCCTGACTACTGGGATAATTTCCTGGGCATCAGAGTACGTGTGTAGAATTTTTTATTCAGCTATGCTTATTTGTTTACAAAATATTACTCTTTTTTTTTTTTTACATCACCTCCCCGCATCCCACAATTGAAAAAAATAAGGAAAAGCTGGGTAGGTTTAAGATATGAAACACGAGATGATGGGATAGCAAAACCAAGATATGAAATAATTAGTGAAGAATTTAGAGAAGAAATTTCCTGACATTCACTACAAAATGGTTATTTGAGAATTTCATTTCACATTCTTATTTGATAAAGCAAAATAGCATTCTATTATGAAGATATGTTCACAATAATTATATAAAAAATCATATAATTAGAATGGTAGTATATTCTCAAGGATATCAATTTCTAGTTCAAGCATCCTTAGTACACTGTAGAGAAATATCGACATTGCAAATATTTCATCAGAGCTCATAAGGAAAATGATTTATATCAAAGATTTTCAAAAGCAAATTAAAATAATTAAAAACAGATCCAGTTAGGAAAATTTACATTATGGACAAAAACTAACCCTTGGGACACCATCATCCATTAAGGGTAGATCATCATCAATTGTAAGGGATGATAAGGAAGTGGCTCGAGAGAATTCAACTGGAGTGCCTTCCTCTACCCATGCTCTTGGAGCCTCACTAAACACTCCTGTACTGGTTCTGGGACCTGTAGGGTCAGAAAAGAAATCTACTGAACACAAACAAACATGGAGAAACTAAAATGAATTCTTACAAGGTATGGTAACTTGTGCAATGGAGCGATGTAATCTAGAGCTTTTTAGATTCAACATATATTGATACTGTATATACAGTATTGAGAAAACTTAAGTTTCCTGAAACTTGAAACCAAAAACTTTTATTGACTCTGGTACAATAATGTATTTTGCATTTGCTGGCTTTAGTGGCCATCATTAGTTAACACTTTCGCCCGGGCATGACGCAGCATTGCGTCATCCGTTTACTGTCGGTAATACCGGGGATGACGCAGCATTGCGTCATCCACTTTAAATAATCGCCAAAAATCAGGTTTTTATCCAATTTTTTGGGGACTGGTTTTAAAATGCGCGCCGATGTCTTCCCATTTTCTTTGTTGAGCCTCGTGGCCCTCAGGCGGCTTGGCACACGCCGTGGGCCCATTGTTTTCGCTCCACTGTTGTAACCAATGTTGCCTCCCCTCGCATCTCAAACGTGTGTACATTTCGGCTATTTTCCGTGGCTATATTTCTTACTGCGGCTTTAGAAACTATCTACGCTTACTCCACGATGGATAGTGATCATGAACAAGGCCCTTCCTGGAAGAAAATTGCGAAAGAAACGCTTGAAAAGAGCGGGAATTGGCAGTGTAGCTGGAAGGCGTCTGAGCGCTCACTTGCGGCTAACGCGTGGCCCGTCTTCAACTCGTCAGCGGTTGGAGCGTGACCAGGTTTTTTATTTTATATGCTAATGTTCCTCTAGAGATTTCAATTGCGAACCCATTGAGACCAAAATGAAAGACCTAGGACGAAAATTGAGGTGACCAGAGTGAAAATAGTGAAAACATTTTATCGCGTTTGTGCGCTCCTGGGTAACTCGTTCGCACTTTCTCTGTTTGCTGCAGGTAATTAGCTGGGCTTTTGGAGTTTATATGCATTTAGTACTGTAGAGAATTCTATTGCGAACACAATGATGCAAAATTTAATCTCGTAGGACGAGAATTAAGGTGACAAAGTTGAAGAGAGTATACACTTTTCAGAATTTACGCGCGCTCCCGTGACACCCTGGGTCCATTATCGCACAGTTGAGGGGTGGCGCGCGGGGTACGCCAAAGTGTTAAGTGTACCTTAACAATTTGTCACTCAGCTAGGGTTCATTTTTGTGTGCAAATTTGGAAATAGAACCTTAATAAACTATGATGCATTTCTTTCATTTACATTCTAAAGAGACATGTCCAAGTGTTACAAAAATAGGTTCAGCTGTATAACCAGAGTTGGAGTCTATGCAAACACGAACAAATCTTTGTCCTTACTTTCTTTAAATATGACACAGTTGCTGAATAGCAAAGCTTCATTACTTCACACAAAATCTTTTTTAAATTCTTGTGACAAAATATAGCTAAAATATATTTTAAGTGACAAAATGCAACAATTTAAATATCCGACAAAGATATTGCTCACCAGATGATTAAAACCAAATTACAAGTCAAAATTTGGCTAGGTTTTAATGATAGATGAAGTAATTAGTCTAAATAACTGAGGATGTTTAATAAACCTGATCATGTTTTAAAATTGGGTTAAACCATTGACAGAACATACTAAATTAAAATCATATTAACCTAACATATATAAATAGAATGATTCACTCAGTAATTTTTCATTTACTTATCTAACTAAGGAGGACACATACAAATAGAATATGCCATTTTTTAATACTTTGATACTGATAAGACACTAGTGAAATTCTTAATTACTGAGATACGACGTGAAAGTATCAAATCTGAAAACATAAAAATCTAAGTGAAAAATAGCAAAAGAGAAAATTTAAACATACAAACTGCCATAGACTGTGTGTAAAAACAATCCAGAAATATTCAAGTTTTAACCGTGATATTTTTATATTTTCAAAATAGTTTTTTTTTTCAAAACACTGAAATTTGACACACACTACTCAATGTGTCAGTAGAGGATAGAGAGTAATACATTCACATACTTAAAAACTCCATTTAATTTTTTTATACATTTAAAAGCCAATGTTTATGGCCAAGAGAAATGGGTGTCCGCTTCTAATAAATCTTTCACGAGTTTCTGTTGGGGTCCTAAACACAAAGGTGTGGAAAATGTTATTATCCAGAATGTTTAGTGAAGGTCTTGCATGCATCTCTTCATTTCTAGTACAGGAAGAAGCATAAATCATTGACTCGGTCATTAGTATTCAAAATATGAATGAGTCAGACTTCCCTCATAAACACACTAATTTGATACGAGATTCTTTAGAAACAGGAGAGAATATTATTTATCTGGAGCTAACCTTGGGCCGGTGCTGGTTTAAATGGTTGTGAAGGAGGGCGAGACCTCTTAGGACTTGGTGGGACTGTATGATTTGGGGAGTCTGGAAGGTCACTTGGGGATATTGCACCACTGGTAAATCGACTGTTAGAAAGGAGAAAATATTTGTTAGTAAAGATATGATACAAAAACATGAATGCTATTATGTGAAACAAACATAAGGCAAATTTATAACCTTAAACAGGTATTAATATAAATTAAAAGTACAATGCCAGTGATATTCAAATGAATTTAATTAATTTAAATTCAATAAACCAAAAATATTATAGACAAGTATAGTGATGAATTTGTTTATAGTCATTGAGTTAGTCAGGAAGAGTGGATATTTGTCAAAATTATGTGTCAAAACTACAGGTGTATTATTCTATCTACTGTATATCTATGATGTCTTGTTACCTACAAACCACTATTACGGGCCATTGACATCTTTTAAAGAGGGGAGCCTTGATACCAGTATCATCCCTGACATACTTAAAACACCAGAGATTGAGCTACTTCACAGAGGAGGTAGATGAGGTAGAAAGGTAGAAAGCAGATGCAAGAAATTATAGACTAGTAGTTCTAACATCACACATCATAAAAATCTTTGAAAGAGTGCCAAGAAGTAGGATCACAAAACACATGGAATCAAAGTGTCTACATAACCCTGGGCAGCACAGGTTAAGGACAAGGCTCTCCTACCTCTCACAATTGCTAGACAATTATGACATGGCCTTAGATGCCATGGAAGACATGCAAAATGCTCATATAATACACATATTTCAAAAAGCTTTTGACAAATGTGACCATTGTGTACTTGCACAAAAAATGTGCACAAAAAGAATTACTGGCAAAGTAGGGAGATTGATCTTTAACTTCCTAATGAACAGAACCCAGAGTGCAATAGTCAACAAAGTATCATCATCCACTGTGAAAAGCTCGAATCCCCCCAAGGTACTGTGCTTTCTCTGGCACTTTTACTCATCCTTGTAACTAACATAGACAAAGATACAAACAATAGTACTGTATCATTCTTTGCAGATGGTACTATGAGTTTCATGAAAGTAGACAAAATAGAGGACACAGCAAACCTCCAATCTAATGCACAAAGAAGTCACATTAATGCAATGTATCAATAAGAAAATCAGTAAGGTATTTGCTCGGGAGTACCCAGAACATAGGTTTGAATCCGCACTAACAGGTCCTACTGATTTTCTGCAGCCTGATGTTAATCAAAATAACATAATGTTTAATGAGCATATGTTCCAGTAACTGTGCAAGGAAAAAAATAAAATATTAAAAGAGAACCCAGATATAAAATGCAGTCAAACCACACTATTGAATGAAAAACCAATGTAATAGATTTAGGAGTAATCAAGTTGGAACACTTTAAGTGTTAAATAAAGGCCACAACAAAGTAACTGTCACAACTGCAAGAAAAATGACAGGTTAATTAACAAGATTCTTTCAAACAAGAAATGCCACACCAATGATGATACTTTTTAAGACACTAGTGCTCCCTAGATTGGAATATTGTTGCACACTATCAGCCCCATTCTAAGCTGTAGAAATTGCTGACCTGGAGAGCATGCAAAGATCTTTTATTGCTAGAATCCATTAAATAAAACATCTAAATTATTAGGATTGCTTAAATGTTTAAAATTTGTATTCCCTAGAGTGCAGACAGGAGACACAATAATTTACACTTGGAAAATACTAGAAGGACTAGTTTCAAATCTGCACACAGAAATAACAATGCATGAGATCAGAAGGCATGGCAAGATGTGCAAAATAGCCTCAGTGAAAAGCAAAGGTGCAATAGGCATGCTGAGATATATATCTGTCAATATCAACGGCATATTATTATTCATCACTCCCTCTACACATAAGGGGTATAACTGGCCAACCTCTTGCAGTGTTCAAAAAGAGAAATTGATAAACACCTCAAAGGATGCCTGATCAACCAGGCTGCGACTTGTACGTCAGACTGTGAGCTGTCGCATCGAATAGCCTGGTTAACCTGACCACCAACCCAGAGGCCTGGTTAGAGACCAGACCATATCTTGAGGTTATCTTGTGATGATTTCGGGGCTTAGCATCCCCACGGGCCAGTCCTCGACCAGGCCGCCTTTTTGTTACACACCCCAGGAAGCAGACTGTAGCAGCTGTCTAACTCCCAGATACCTATTTACTGCTAGGTAACAGGGGCATCAGGGTGAAAAACTCTGCCCATTTGTTTCCACCTCCACCGGAATTCAAACCCGGAACCTCAGGACTACGAATCTGAAGTGCTGTCCACCGAGCTGTTAGGCTCCTAACAGGCCCATGGCCCTGTTAAGTCATGGTGAGACGTTAGTCCTCAGGATCATCAACAGGTAAACGATCACAGAAAATGCTTCTCAATTTTGGCCACTGAGGAGCATTTTCTTCCCTACGAGAGGATGGACAAAACAGTAATGCCACCACAGTCTAAACATAATTTTCTAGCCTGTTTTGTTCCTACTCTGTCTCATGACACTGGTTGCCAGATAACCAGTACTAAGAAATCTTAGACAAACTAGTGTTGTAATGTACCTGAAATCAAAACCACAGATTGCATATACAGTACTGTATTTGAAAACAGACAACATCCTATACTGTACCTGAAAATTTTAGACACCATCCTACACCGTACCTGAAATCAGAGACAACATAATATAATGTACCTGAAATCGGAGACAACAGAGCTTCGGTCATCATGGATGGACTGAACTTCAAAGCTGCTGAGTGATGAGACAGAGGTGGCCCGAGAGAACATGAGTGGTGTTTCCTCATAGTGCACGCTCTTTCCTGCAAGCAGGAAAGATGCTGAGCTAGAATTATGCATTCAAACATGACTAATGAGCAAAATTTCATATATTAAAAAGAATAATAATTTTATGATAAAAAATAAGACTTAACAATTATTATGTGTTAAATCTTCTCAGCTGTAGTAATCATTAACCCCCTGAAGAGCACAGCTGCTTAAAAGTACTACACTGAGGTGTGCAATGCTAAAAATAGTTAACAAATTAAATGGAAATATCACACATGGCAATTTAAGCACAAGAGGGAAATTACAGATAGAATTTGGAGCAATGTAAGAGTTAAAGGATATACAGCAGTTGGCTGCAAAATAAATGGCACCATTTCAGCACAGATGAATTTGTATCAAATTCTATGTCAATCTATAGTGCAATATGTACTTCATTTTAATCTAAACAAAATTAAATGATGATCATTAAGAATGAACAAATATGTAGCAAATTTATGAAACTGATGTGTATCAAGAGCACTGTGCATCATGAGCACTGTGCATCACCAGCACTGTGCATCATGAGCACTGTGCATCATGAGCACTGTGCATCATGAGCACTGTGCATCATGAGCACTGTACATTATGAGCACTGTGCATCATGACCACTGTGTATCATGAGCACTGTGCATCATGAGCACTGTGCATCATGAGCACTGTGCATCATGAGCACTGTGCATCATGCGCACTGTGTATCATGAGCACTGTGCATCATGACCACTGTGTATCATGAGCACTGTGCATCATGAGCACTGTGCATCATGAGCACTGTGCATCATGAGCACTGTGTATCATGAGCACTGTGCACCATAAACACTATGCATCATGAGCACTGTGTATCACGAGCACTGTGTATCACGAGCACTGTGCATTACGAGCACTGTGCATCATGAGCACTGTATCATGACCACTGTGTATCATGAGCACTGTGCATCATGAGCACTATGCATCACGAGCACTGTGCATCATGAGCACTATGTATTATGAGCACTGCATATTATGAGCACTGCATATTATGAGCACTATGCATCATGAGCACTGTGCATCATGATCACTATGCATCATGAGCACTGTGCATCATGAGCACTGTGCAGCATGATCACTATGCATCTTGAGCACTGTGCATCATGAGCACTGTGCAGCATGATCACTATGCATCATGAGCACTGTGCATCATGAGCACTGTGCAGCATGAGCAAGGCAAACATTGTAGTAATGTAACTTAACCTAAACGGTAAAAGATTAATTTCTGGGGGTGTGTGGGGGTCAAAGACTAACATCCAAGCAAGTGAACACAGTATTGAAACTTCAACCCATGCAGGTGAAGGCTCAATTCCAGGGTGTGTTGCAAAAGATAACACCCCAAAAAGCGGTTACAAAATAACAGGAAATCCTAGGTGAAAACCTAGACAAAATTTCATAGAAAACTACCCTAAAGCACAGCCTGAAGAAGAGAGTTGATTGCAGGACTTGGGTGTTCTCAGCATGCCCTAAACTCACCCTGTCCACCATAGACAAGAATAGGCAAAAACATGCCATAATGAACAAAAAAATAAGTTACATAACCTCAAGCAAGAACCACAAGATGCAAACAAATTACATGCATGCAATGATGCCATGGTGAAAGAACAGACCGAAATATGCGTGCGCAGCACTAACGCCACATCCAGTGACTATTTCCCAAGGAATGTAAAAGGGTTACTCAAATAGGACAAAATCTCAGCAAACCAGCAGAGTAAAATCTTAAGACAAATCCAACAGACAATGTAAAGACACCATGCAGGCATCCACTTAAAAGTATTGTATAGGCCCACTTTCCATGAAATTACGGTTTCAGGATACACACTAATCATTTTACTTTAAAATGTGAAAGACAATGAAGTAGAGAGAGAATTCTCAATAACTCTTGATTACTGGGCAGGTGCTGACACCTAGTGATGGGGTGGGGGGGTAGCAGTAGTAAAGCCAGGTGTCAACTAGCAGTGAGCAGAACGTTTCTGGTGGTGGGAAGGGGGGGGGGGTGCTATTTAAAGTCAAGTATTGCTTGCATGAATGAACCTTTCAGAGGTCATTTACAGCTGGATAGAGAAATCAACAGTGTGTTCCTTTCCTCATTAATGGTCTGGCAGGGACATTATAATGAGATATTCACTGATAAGAGGAGTGGAAGTTCAACTGGCCTGCTGATACTTGGTAAAGTCCTTCTGAGAGTATAACACTACCCAATGAACCAGCGAAGTGGGTTTAATTCAGAAATATGATTAATCTAAATTGTACTTAAGTAGAAAAAAGATGATCACAGAATTCACTGTACAGTATTTTTATTTTATTGTAACAAAATCTGAAACACTAAATGTTTATTTTTTTATTTTTAATTACTGTGTATTAATGATGATAAGCAAGCCTTACCCTCTGGTCTCTCTAGCTGTTGGGATGAAGGCGTGTGACTTCCATCTCTGTGAGCATCCTCTAATTCCTCTCCTTGGGCCTCCTCCTGTCTGGCCTTCTTGTCCTCACTGCTTGTATCTTGAGGTTTGTGTTCCCCATCTTCTGACAACTCTCCCATAAGTCCATCCCTGCAGTAAAAACTTAATGAATATGAAGCCACAATTATCAAATTTGCTATAAAACACAAACAATTTGCATTTGTCTGTAATACACGTCTTGTAATTAAATTAATGTTTGTGTTTTAACTTCACATAGATGGACTTCATAACAGCACCTACTAAGTAAATAATGAGGAGATAGAATTAACAAATGAAATGTAGCAGTTCTGAGATCCAATTACAAAAATTTTGCTTTGGGAAGGAAGTAATGAATGACTAACCATGTGCTTGTGACAACTGATATGGAGTACTGCACTTTACACTCTTCATGAAATGACTGAAATATAGGTGTGTATATTTTGCTAACCCCTACCAACGGTTTTAGTCTCCCAAGATTTTTGTACATTTGTGATCCTCATTTTCTATAATACTCTTCCATTATTTCATGAGAGGTATTATTACAAGGTACGACATTCTAGTAATGCTTGCGAATGGGGAAGGTGGCACTTTTTTCTGTATTAAGAGTCATCCACCCATTCCTTTTGGGGGTGTCTGTCAGTCCCACAAAAGTAGTAAATAGTACAGTAATAATGTTGAAGACCGATGATGAGCTATTTACTCTTACTATTGTCCACACACATAAATAAGTAGTGATATGTAGGTAACAAATCTTCAATTAATATTATTTTGTATTAATTCTGCCTAGGAATAAGTATAAAACAGTATTTGCAATGCCAGAACACCGATTGTTAAAAGAATATAACAAATATTCTGAAACAAATTTGTTATGCTTTTTCTTGCTTTGACAGGTATAAATGCAATTTTGTTCATTGTAACAACTGAATATAAATGCTTTTGACAGAAATGTACATCAGTAAACAACAACAAATTAAATTTCCTGGTTTGAAATGGCTCTTGAAAATCTTAAGTATCCCCATAAGATTTAATAAAAATCTGAATAATATTTTAATGATAACTGCACACCATAAAGAAATTTGATATGTCTTGAATTCACAATTCAAAGGACAATTTAGTTCAGAAACAATGTTGTGTCTACTAAATTAAGATATAAGATGCACAAAAGCCTCAACAAATCTTACCTGTCATTATTAGCATTGATTTCTCCACTTGTTAATGAAGAAACTGATGAGAATCTTGAAAGACAAACAGGTGTTCCTTCAACACAGTATGTAATAGGTTTGTCTGGGGTCATCATGCCAGAGCTGAGACCACTTTTAACTGGTAGGCCGATGTGGGATGGGAGTGGCTCCAGCGTGTCCCCGGGATCATCTATATCTTCTACCTTTTTTAGGCTTTCAACCTTACCTTCCTTTTCTTTCTTCTTCTTCTTGAGAATTAAAAATTGAATTAAGAAATTCAAGAATTAAGAAATTCAAGAATTAAGAAATTCTTCTTAATTAAAAATTAAGAAATAAACAAAAATTGCACTCAAGTTTACTACAATACATAATTGCATACAATTCATATTGCAATTAATACATAATAACAGTTCCAACTAAATGCAGATACAGCTTTGGAAACACGAGATTTGTCAACAAACTTACTTCATCAATACGAGGTGCTGATGAGCCTTCTCTCTCGATCTCTTTGATGGCTGGTTCCCGCAGGTCTGTCATGGACGTAGCAGTGGAAAAATTGTATGGGGTTTCATAAGGAGTACCTTCAGTGTAGTAGGTCTTGATCGAGTCATCATGTATGGAGGGCTCAAAGAACTGAGAAGTGGGTTCTTGAGGAGGCTTGGGAGGGCGCCGGTACAAGGCAGCTTCATCACTATCACGTTCCTCGGAATACCTGTAAGAACGCACCCTTTTGTAGGAAAAGGTTAACTATCATGCCAACAGTCAATGTAAAAGACAACAAAGTGCAATACAGTTTATACAAAAATATTATACTGCTGTATATAATTATAGATTTAAAAGAAATCATTCTTAATTGAACACCACAAGGTATTGACAACCCTGTGGAAACTGTTGTTGAGCAACTTATGTTTTTGGATATTAGGTATAGTATTTTCATTTGTAATACAACATTTTCTGCAGCTTTAGTAGTAAAAGTGTAGAAACATGGACTAACAGAGCATTCCTAGTGAATAATTTAATGCTGGTACTGTACTGGAAACCTAGATTACTAAATACTGCACAATTATATGCACCCAAATTTCAAATTAGCACTAAAATATTGGGTATTAAACAGGTATTCATTAGGCAAAAACATGTTCAAACAAAATTTGGTTAGACAAAATCTCTATGAATAAAAATAGAGTTGTTTCTTCCCACCATCCTCATAAAATGGCAATCCTTCAGATGATAGGAATTCTGTTCTAGCTCTCTCAGGAAGCCAAGTAAGTGACAAGCTCAGTATTTCTAATCAAATCTTTTTAACACTTCACATTAGTCACATCTAGCTTCACACCTTCATGCTAACACAATTTCTGAACTCAAACTTTGGAATAGAGCTGAATGATATTGTATACAAGAAAGCAATAAAGGCTTGGTTCTGTTCAAAAATGAACATTCTACAGAAATGCTATTGGTGCAATCTTGCAACATTCCACAACCCTTACTATTCACTCTTCTTACGAACATTCTCCAAATAATCATTATTTAGTGTCTCATATTTTTTATTTGAATTACCTAAGCCCTGATGGTGAATGCAAAAGGTCATTAGTTCACACACAACAGACACATTAATACGCAGAATAATGAACACATTTCAAGACAATGATTTTGGGGTCTGACTTTGCAGTGTATACTGATGTATTGTCTGAATCAACTCAACAGCCAATACACTCTTTGATAGTAGATAACTACTTCATATTATATATATATGACATACTGTACATATAATTAAGTTAAGTATATATATATATATATATATATATATATATATATATATATATATATATATATATATATATATATATATATATATATATATATATACAGTGTATATTGCAACCCGTTCTCGCAAATTCGTAAAGTCAATATTGACTTATTAACTACGTGCATAGGTGATATACTAAACATATAGATACCCTTAAAATATTCATAGAAAACACCGGCCTTACCTAACCTTGTTAGTAATTTTTTTTTTTTTTTTTTTTTTTTTTTTTTTAGATATATACAAGAGTTGTTACATTCTTGTACAGCCACTAGTACGCGTAGCGTTTCGGGCAAGTCCTTAATCCTATGGTCCCTGGAATACGATCCCCTGCCGCGAAGAAGATAAGCATCTTATTGTTTTTTCATCCAAGTACACATTTTACTGTTGCGTTAAACAGAGGCTACAGTTAAGGAATTGCGCCCCGTAAATCCTCCCCGGCCAGGATACGAACCCATGACATAGCGCTCGTGGAACGCCAGGCGAGTGTCTTACCACTACACCACGGAGACTCCTATACCTATTATAGGTTAGGTAATAATTGTAATTACGAAGCAATAAGATGCTTATCTTAAGATACTAACAAGGTTAGGTAAGGTTGGTGTTTTCTATGAATCTTTTTAAGGGTATCTATTATGTTAAGTATGTCACCTATGCACATATTTAATAAGTCAATATTGACTTATTAAATTTGCGAGAACGGGTTGCAATATATATATATATATATATATATATATATATATATATATATATATATATATATATATATATATATATATGTCGTACCTAGTAGCCAGAACGCACTTATCAGCCTACTATGCAAGGCCCGATTTGCCTAATAAGCCAAGTTTTCCTGAATTAATATATATCTAATTTTTTTCTTATGAAATGATAAAGCTACCCATTTCATTATGTATGAGGTCAATTTTTTTTTATTGGAGTTAAAATTAACGTAGATATATGACCGAACCTAACCAACCCTACCTAACCTAACCTAACCTATCTTCATAGGTTAGGTTAGGTTAGGTAGCCGAAAAAGTTAGGTTAGGTTAGGTTAGGTAGTCGAAACACAATTAATTCATGAAAACTTGGCTTATTAGGCAAATCGGGCCTTGGCTGAGAAGTGCGTTCTGGCTACTAGGTACGACATATATATATATATATATATATATATATATATATATATATAATATACACAGTACATATATATATATATATATATATATATATATATATATATATATATATATATATACGTGTGTGTGTGTGTGCATGCAAAAATGACCACATTCGAAAGGAAAATAAGAGCCTAAGCACTTTGGCTCTTATTTTCATTTAAAATATGTTCATCTTTGCATTCCTGAGATCTAGTGTATTTAGATCTTTTTGCTCATATACATATTTTATATTTGTATACATCAACTGTAGAGGACTAAAACTGACTTAATTCATTATTTGTTCCCTTTGAAAAATATTATTTTTGTAATGTGGTGAGTGCCTTTTTCCATTTTTTCCACTTGATAATAAGTGGAAATTATATAAACTTTTTTTGTGATACTGTATTTTCAATTATAACAGATCTGACGAATCAAGACAAAAGCAGACTAATACTTTCAGCATGACACTATACTTAGCATTACATGTATCAAAATTACAAAATACATTCTAGCATAAAGCCCATGGTAGAAAAAGCTGAATCTAAAATTATCAGCAGATCACAGTAGTTACAAACCACTCATAGTCATCATTTTGCTCAAAATTATCCAGAGATCTGTTGTTCTCTCTGCCTTGTACCGGTCCCTCGTACTGCTACTGTTTAGCTTCCGGTAAGTCCACCAGTACCAGAGATTGACCCAATAGCATACTGTTCCAAGACCAGTGGTAAGTGATTGGTGATAAACAACAGTTACTAAATATATTTTCTTTATAATTTGTAATACATAAAAATTATTTTGGCAGAAAATTATCAATGTTTGTTGTATATAATATACTGTAATAAATTCTAATAAGGTGAAATCTTAACTTAATTAAATCATTTAAAAGAGAATGCTTGCAACAGTGCAAGAAATAAAGAAAAAATTACTGAACAGCAATGGGAAAAATCTAAATCTTATTAACATAAAAATATTAAATCAAATGTAGATCAAAGCATACCTTAGACTGAAGTTCGTAGGCTGGTCAAGGTCTGTTTCCGTGTAACCAGTGAAGCTCTCTGGATCTCTCTCTGACTCCGGATGCGATTCAGTTTTTCGCGTCTCTCTTCTTTCTACCACATAATTATCAATTTGAGGTACTGGTCTTTCAGTACTCTGTGACATGTTAGCCATTGATTCATTTGTTGGAGTTTTCATTGTTGTTCCTGCTCCACACTTGAGGCTATAATTGAGTGGCTCATCTTGGGCATCGTTTTCGATGTCTACTTCTGCTAGATTTCGACTGTAGTTCACATACTTGCTGTAATAATTATAATGAGCTTCATTATGAGGTTGTTGTTGTTGCTTGCCGTTAACAAAATTTCTTCCAGTCCCACTTCTTTCATCCTCACTTGTATTTGATGACCTCCTACGGGGACTGTATGGAGGTTGTGGACCTGAGGCATGGAATGACCCATTTCGGTTACCATTAGCACTACCAGCAATGCCATCACTAAAAGGCATCGATTCACTTGATGGACGACCATATACATCTTTCATGTTCCTTACACGTGAAGCAAAAATCTCATCAGCACTTCCATTAAATTCTTTGGATTCCAAGTGTCTTTGTAATTCTTCTTGACTCATATGTGCAATATCTGGTACACAATGTGATGGAGGAGCCATAGATCTTAGTGACAAATCTAGAGGTCTACCGTTCTCCCCAATGCCTTCACGAGCACTTTGATGATGCCGCATTAATAACTGCCTCATTCGGTCATGCGAATTATCGGAGTGGGTTGAAGATATAGAGTCCCTGCTTTCAGATCTTAGTACATTATTATATTGTGTTCCTAATGAATGGAACATAGGTCTAGTACCAGGATAGTACTGTGAAGCATCACCTGGCTGACCATAAAAATGAGGGTCAGTACCTTGAGGATGAGTTGGTGAGGAACGTGGTGAAGTCTCAATGTTATCACATGTCTCGGAGAGTGAGGGGTCTAATTCCTGTTCAAGAGCTTTCTGTTTACGTGCTTGTAAGGATGGCAGACCCATGCCATGACGAGGGTCTGTCAAAGACATTCCCTCAGGCCGTGCTTGCAGTAAATTCTTCAGAGCAGCACTAGACCCCATAGATATCATTTTATGCTTTGAGTTAATCAGTGATCGCAACATGGGAACGGCGCCAAGTTCCCACAACATCCGCTGGTCTTGACTACACCTTGCTGAGAGGTTCCACAGTGTTCCACAGGCATTGCTCACCACTGTTAAACTTGGTGAACGTAGCTGCCCTAATAATGTGTTCAGTGTACTGTGTTCCCTCAGTACTTGCCTGCAAATGAAAATATAGTTGCAAGTTCAATACAGTACTTTACATATTTAAAAGCTTGTACCTCATTATAATACTAACAATTATAAGTCACACACATAGGCTACATTAAGCTGCAGCTATCACATTAAGATATGCATAATGTGACTATGCCTCTGCCGATGAGGAGTCACAATAACGTGGCTGAAAAATGTTGACCAAACCACACACACTAGAAAGTGAAAAGACAAAGATATTTCGGTCGGTCCTGGACCATTAACAAGTCAATTGTCGACTTAATAATGGTCCAGGACGGACCGAAACGTCGTCGTCTCTTCACATTCTAGTGTGTGGTTTGGTCAACACTATGCCTCTCTTCTCACATCACTTGTCAATTACTTATCGTTTACCTCCCCCTGAAACTATTAAACTGCTGAAAAGTTGAATTTTCTAATATGAAATAGGAAAATGAATGCTTTATATGTAATAACTGATGTGATTCTTTGATAAGATTTTTATCGTATTGAAACAGTATACTTTAAATGCTGGCCAGAAAACCAACGTTGAATGTAATGAAATGCCAGTTTCTGGGCGAGCCTCGGAGGTTCCCTGAAGCTATCCTACTGATATAGTGCTATCCTATTTGGGGGGGCTATCCTACATCTCGAAATGCTATCCTACATTTCGAGGACGCAAGTCGCAATTTTTAACCAGGTCTGTTTTGGTTTGCCTACCTTTCTGGGTGCCTTCCCCGGTCGATGGCAAATATGACATACAGTACTGTACTTTAAATGTAAAGTGTTCATAAGCCATTGCTTCCTGCACCTCTCGGGGGGAGGCCAGGTTCTGGCTTTGATCCCCAATAAGCAACAAGAACTCTGCGACTGATGACCCCAATTAGGATAGCACTATACCAGTTGGATAGCTTCGGGAAGTTGATGGGGCTCCTTGCAGAAAACTATTCCTATTAATTAGTATTCTTTGCAGAGCACCTTTATAAATTAACACTTACCTAAGATCTTCTCTGACAGCAATATGACTAGAAATATTCCTGAGTATTCCACCTCCATTCTCTACAATGGCTAGGGTTTTGGACTGTGACTTGTAGGTAAGTGTGCTGCAGATAAATGCTAGAGCTCCATCCACTGCACATATTTCAGCCTGCAAGGCAAAACCTTCCTTCTATTACATGTGGTTGAAGAACTTTGATAATATTTGGCCCTACCTGCCAATGCATAATTTTGTATCAACAGCAAGGTGATATTACGGTAAAGGTTTTTGCTCTAAGAAAATGATACATTTTGTTTAGCAATTAATTTAACAAGATTTAGATTTCTAAAGTGACAAGAACACTCTTGTTTATTCTCTGTCAGGTACACTAGAGCCAATATTTCAGTTTGTGTGAAGCCTGCCAAAGTACAGATAACGCACCTTGTTAATGCTGCAGTGTGCAGAAAGATTCCATACTGCAGACAAAATAACCTTGAGTGTAGATTCTTTCCGTGCAGAGAGGGCAGCCTGCATCAGAATTGCAACTGCTCCTACGTCCCTTAGACTTGCTTTGCTTGCTCCATCTGCTCTCCATGACAGATTGCGCAGTACACTGGCAGTTACCTATGCACAGAAATATAGAGTGCATATATTCAACCATTATTACAATAGACCATAATGGCTAATATACATTGTGCCAATAGAATATTAAACAATACACTCCATTTTCATTCGAGTCAAATATCCAGCTCCACAATTATAGTACCAAATTAGGAACATAAAGCTCTAACAGATAAATTTTATATAATTTTGAATATGGAGGAAATATCTATGAGAGATTTCTATACTGAATGGATACCATCCCCTACAGAAGTACACCCAGAGTTTCAGAAAGGGAGTTGGTACAGAACTGTATAATGGAAGACGGAATCTGCAGCAATGAGAAGGTTCCCCCCTTCCCCAGGTAGTTCCTGGAAAAGACTAGTGGGAGTTAAGGTGGAGCTCCTGTAATCTCCAACATTTGTTGTGCTTGAATTTATGAATCTGCCTTTCCTGGTAAGTAAATATTAGGGATATTTACTCTTCCACATGAGTATTTATTATTTGATTCATATTATATTAGATTTCTTGGCACACTGCTAGCCTTTTGAATGCAAAAGTCATTTAGATTAACAAATCAGGGAAGGGAAGTTAAGGGTGAACATATTTGAATATATTCCCTTCCTTTTCTGTTCCCCCCGAGTGCATTATCCAATTCCTTAACATACCCAGAAAGGGTTTCAGGGGTTCTTCTACTCCCTGAGGCCGGATTCAGGTACCAGTCACTTAACCACAGTGATTTACTTTTTTACCAATTCTTCACTCACTCACATTATTTCCTTTTCTCCTTCTCCTTCTCTCTCTCCTTCTCCCCCTCTCTCTCTCTCCCTCTCCCCCTCTCTCATTCCTCCTCCCCATCTCTCCCTCCCCCTCCCCCTCCCTCTCCCCCTCTCTCCCCCTCCCCCCCTGCCTCCCTCTCCCTCTCTCTCTCTCAGGATGGCCATGGACAATGGGAAAGAACCAGTTTTAAGAGGTAAATGAGTGAAAGAATCTACAAAATTTAGCCAAACTTTGCATGTATAGGACAGAAATGAGCAAAACTTTAAGTGTGAGGAAGAAATACCAACTTCAGGTGTAGTGGACAGAAAGAGAGCCCACATTCAGGTGTATGGAAGACCTTTGCATAATCCATCCTGCTTAGCGATGAAAAAGTTTCCAAGATTTAGCTTGGTGTAATTAAACATACAAATAACCACAAAAATAAGAGTCACATTTTATACAAACTTTAAAATTAAGTAATTTTAACCAATGTTACAATTATTTCATTGCATTGGTGCAGTATATAGGCATTAGTGCAAAAATATAGACCATAAAGTACTGTAATTAATATTCTAATTACCTGTCTAAGATCTTCACTAGGAGAATGGAGCTGGGATACAAGTGCCCTCATGAAGGACCGGAAGGAGCACAGTAGAGCCTTGTTTGTGCCATCTCCAAATGTTAGGTTGGTTAATGCCATTCCTGCATATCTGAAAATTATCAGCATTAAGTATTAATTTCCTGTATAACTTCTGCCAATATCATCATTATTATCATTACCCCATTTCCAATGTCCACAGGATGGGGAGGCACTAACCTACTAAGGCAAGGAGAGCAGTATAGATAAAAAGGCCACCGATATATGAAAAAATAAGACCTGTTCAATAGTCACAACTGTTGATACTAGTCACATGTGATACTACTTCACATCACAGAAAGCCAACACCAACACACTCCAGCAATTAATCCCAAGGTAAAGTAATAAGGAGAAAGCTCTTATATAGCACCTTTAAACTACAGTATACTGTATAGCACTTGGAAGGGATACAAGGATAAGGATTTAGGATAGGATGGGGGGAAAGGAATGGTGCACAACCAGTTCACGGTCAGAGATTGAACGCTAACCTGCAAGAAGCAAGACCATCACTCTACCATCCAGTCCAACACCCAACTGATGCATGAAATTACATTGCAGCACTCCCCAATGAGTGTCATAAATAAACATTCCAAACATTTACTTTCCATTTACAAATTCCTGCAACCAAGCTATGTACCTTATCACTTCTCATATTGTAATACAGTCGAGTTTGTTCCTATCTCACAACCAGGAATTCCTGGTTCTAATTCAGGGTGGGACAGAAATGGTTGGGCAAGTTTCCTATCATCTAATGTACCTATTCATCTAGCAATAAATAGGTACCTAGGAGTTAGTCAGCTTGTTGTGAGATTGCATCCTAGGATGGGTCGGTAATCTGACCCTGGGGGGGGGGGAACTTTAATATAAGGCTAATATATATATATATATATATATATATATATATATATATATATATATATATATATATATATATATATATATATATATATATATATATATATATATATGACTGAAAACTCACAGCCCAGAAGTGACTCGAACCCATACTCCCAGGAGCAACGCAACTGGTATCTACAGGACGCCTTAATCCGCTTGACCATCATGACCGGACATAAGGAACTGATAGCCGAAGCTATTTGAACCACTTCCCCGCGGGCACTCGGATGGTAATCTTGGGCATAGCATTTTATCAAATCACCTCATTCTTTGGGGCACACGTGAGGAACACAAATACGAACAAGCCTGAATGGTCCCCAGGACTATATGCAAGTTTTCAGACGCATATAGTCCCGGGGACCATTCAGGTTTGTTCGTATTTGTGTTCCTCACGTGTGCCCCAAAGAATGAGGTGATTTGATAAAATGCTATGCCCAAGATTACCATCCGAATGCCGGCGGGGAAGTGGTTCAAATAGCTTCGGCTATCACTTCCTTATGTCCGGTCGTGATGGTCAAGCGGATTAAGGCGTCCTGTAGATACCAATTGCGTTGCTCCTGGGAGTATGGGTTCGAGTCACTTCTGGGGTGTGAGTTTTCAGTCGCATATAGTCCTGGGGACCATTCAGGCTTGTTCACATATTTTATATTATATTATATTATATTATATATATATATATATATATATATATATATATATATATATATATATATATATATATATATATATATGTCGTACCTAGTAGCCAGAACGCACTTCTCAGCCTACTATGCAAGGCCCAATTTGCCAAATAAGCCAAGTTTTCATGAATTAACTGTTTTTCGACTACCTAACCTACCTAACCTAACCTAACCTAACTTTTTCGGCTGCCTAACCGAACCTAACCTATGAAGATAGGTTAGGTTAGGTTAGGTAGGGTTGGTTAGGTTCGGTCATATATCTACGTTAATTTTAACTCCAATAAAAAAAATTGACCTCATACATAATGAAATGGGTAGCTTTATCATTTCATAAGAAAAAAATTAGAGAAAATATATTAATGCAGGAAAACTTGGCTTATTAGGCAAATCGGGCCTTGCATAGTAGGCCAAGAAGTGCGTTCTGGCTACTAGGTACGACATATATATATATATATGTCGTACCTAGTAGCCAGAACTCACTTTTTGGCCTACTATTCAAGGCCCGATTTGCCTAATAAGCCAAGTTTTCATGAATTAATTGTTTTTCGACTACCTAACCTACCTAACCTAACCTAACCTAACTTTTTCGGCTACCTAACCAAACCTAACCTATAAAGATAGGTTAGGTTAGGTTAGGTAGGGTTGGTTAGGTTCGGTCATATATCTACGTTAATTTTAACTCCAATAAAAAAATTGACCTCATACATAATGAAATGGGTAGCTTTATCATTTCATAAGAAAAAAATTAGAAAAAATATATTAATTCAGGAAAACTTGGCTTATTAGGCAAATCGGGCCTTGAATAGTAGGCCAAAAAGTGAGTTCTGGCTACTAGGTACGACATATATATATATATATATATATATATATATATATATATATATATATATATATATATATATATATATATATATATATATATATATATATATATATATATATATATATATATATATATATATATATATATATATATATATATATATATATATATATATATATATATATATATATACATATATATATATATATATATGTCGTACCTAGTAGCCAGAACTCACTTCTCAGCCTACTATTCAAGGCCCGATTTGCCTAATAAGCCAAGTTTTCCTGAATTAATATATTTACTATAATTTTTTTCTTATGAAATGATAAAACAACCCTTTTCTCTATGTATGAGGTCAATTTTTTTTTATTGGAGTTAAAATTAACGTAGATATATGACCGAACCTAACCAACCCTACCTAACCTAACCTAACCTATATTTATAGGTAAGGTTAGGTTAGGTAGCCAAAAAAGCTAGGTTAGGTTAGGTTAGGTAGGTTAGATAGACGAAAAAACATTAATTCATGAAAACTTGGCTTATTAGGCAAATCGGGCCTTGAATAGTAGGCTGAGAAGTGCGTTCTGGCTATTAGGTACGACATATATATATATATATATATATATATATATATACATATATATATATATATATATATGTCGTACCTAGTAGCCAGAACTCACTTCTCAGCCTACTATGCATGGCTCGATTTGCCTAATAAGCCTAGTTTTCATGAATTAATGTTTTTTCGACAACCTAACCTACCTAACCTAACCTAAAGTTTTCAGCTACCTAACCTAACCTAACCTATAAAGATAGGTTAGGTTAGGTTAGGTAGGGTTGGTTAGGTTCGGTCATATATCTACGTTAATTTTAACTCCAATAAAAAAAAATTGACCTCATACATAATGAAATGGGTAGCTTTATCATTTCATAAGAAAAAAATTAGAGAAAATATATTAATTCAGTAAAACTTGGCTTATTAGGCAAATCGGGCCTCGCATAGTAGGCTGAGAAGTGAGTTCTGGCTACTAGGTACGACATATATATATATATATATATATATATATATATATATATATATATATATATATATATATATATATATATGTCGTACCTAGTAGCCAGAACTCACTTCTCAGCCTACTATGCGAGGCCCGATTTGCCTAATAAGCCAAGTTTTACTGAATTAATATATTTTCTCTAATTTTTGAGAAAGTTTACTGTTTACTGTTTACGAAAGTTTGAGAAAGTTTACTGTCACCATAAACATATATATATATATATATATATATATATATATATATATATATGTCGTACCTAGTAGCCAGAACTCACTTCTCAGCCTACTATGCGAGGCCCGATTTGCCTAATAAGCCAAGTTTTACTGAATTAATATATTTTCTCTAATTTTTTTCTTATGAAATGATAAAGCTAACCATTTCATTATGTATGAGGTAAAAAAATGTTTATTGGAGTTCAAATTAACGTAGATATATGACCGAACCTAACCAACCCTACATATATATATATATATATATATATATATATATATATATATATATATATATATATATATATATATATATATATATATATATATATATATATATATATGTCGTACTTAGTAGCCAGAACGCACTTCTCATCCTACTATGCAAGGCCCGATTTGCCTAATAAGCCAAGTTTTCATGAATTAATGTTTTTTCGACTACCTAACCTACCTAACCTAACATAACTTTTTCGGCTACCTACCCTAACCTAACCTATAAAGATAGGTTAGGTTAGGTTAGGTTAGGTAGGGTTGGTTAGGTTCGGTCATATATCTACGTTAATTTGAACTCCAATAAACATTTTTTTACCTCATACATAATGAAATGGTTAGCTTTATCATTTCATAAGAAAAAAATTAGAGAAAATATATTAATTCAGGAAAACTTGGCTTATTAGGCAAATCGGGCCTTGCATAATAGGCTGAGAAGTGCGTTCTGGCTACTAGGTACGCCATATATATATATATATATATATATATATATATATATATATATATATATATATATATATATATATATATATATATATATGTATATATATATATATATATATATATATATGTATATATATATATATATATATATATATATATATATATATATATATATATATATATATATATATATATATATATATATATATATATATGTCGTACCTAGTAGCCAGAACGCACTTCTCAGCCTACTATGCAAGGCCCGATTTACCTAATAAGCCAAGTTTTCATGAATTAATTGTTTTTCGACTACCTAACCTACCTAACCTAACCTAACATTTTCGGGTACCTAACCTAACCTAACCTATAAAGATAGGTTAGGTTAGGTTAGGTAGGGTTGGTTAGGTTCGGTCTTATATCTACGTCAATTTTAACTTCAATAAAAAAAAATTGACCTCATACATAATGAAATGGGTAGGTTTAACATTTCATAAGCAAAAAAATAGAGAAAAAATATATTAATTCATGAAAACTTGGCTTATTAGGCAAATCGGGCTTTGCAAAGTAGGCTGAGAAGTGCGTTCTGGCTATTAGGTACGACATATATATATATATATATATATATATATATATATATATATATATATATATATATATATATATATATATATATATATATATATATA